CCTGCGGTATACATAATGAACGCAGCCTTGGCAAATGTTATTGGCCTCAGCCATAACACTTGCCTTGACATTGATAATTCAGTATATCAAAACCTCATCCAATAATTATCTATTAGTCTAGCACGACTTACTCTTTTCTAAAGCGAAATTCAATGCGACTTACTACCCTGTTTTTATTCAGGTGGATCATGAATCTCAGAGATGCTATTCAGTCTGCACCCAAAGATGACGGTAAGTGACTCTGACAGGAGTTTGATTGACGGCGTCACGGGGATTTGATGACGCATGGGAGTAGGGTAAGGYGAAATTTAAACTGCATCAGTTTACTAAAAATAGCCCAACCGGTAATTTACATGGCGCGCGCGTTACTAAGAAATTTCCTTCTTTTATTTATGCTTTCTTGGTGATCAGTGTGAAGTTCTGAAACATCGATTATTACAGTGGTTAATTCAAAATTCAATAAAACAACAAAGAACTAAACAAAGTACAAATTGGGCGAGGGCGCCAGGACAGACGGATTGGGTCACAGGCAGCCCAAACAAGGTTCCTKTGTATGGTTTATAAGGGAATGTATGGGAGTTATGATAAAGTTACGAAAATAAAATGACTGAACTGAACATAGTAAAAGTAACAACTACAGCAAGTTTTGGGGCAAATTATTGAGTGAAACATTCTATTTTTGTAACTTTATCATAACTCCCATACATTCCCTTATAAACCATACACAGGAACCTTGTTTGGGCTGCCTGTGATTGGGTTTTAAATATGTGTGATTGTTTCAGTTATTCGTAGATTTCTAATTGAATTGATATATGTTTGTTTCYAAATGGATACTAAATAGTGTTCACTTATCTTTCTATCCAACGGTCTTTCTGGTTCAAATCAGCCGTACGATATGAATATATTTACCACGTCCACCAACGGTCTTTCTGSTTTGGAACAGCTGTACGTACGTTCTGAGTATTTACCGCTGCACTATCCGTGCCAAGCAGCGCCGGCGCCGCTTCGTTAGCGATTACTCACCTTTAATAAGTTAAACAATAATTTCTTAGTTTTCAGGGTACATTTTAYGGCAATCTTTACGAAAATCCTTAGTTCTGTGTTGATTCGGGAAGCGTGATTTTCGCATGTATTTCAACCAAATTCAACAAGTTTCTATGCAGTCAGAATTAATTTCCCCAAAATCAATCTTTAAAGTTTTGAAAAGGTCTATTCTTCCTCAACTTGCAGCATAAATATTATTTCAATCAGAGAACTTGCCCATAGTTAGATATTTTTTTCTTTTGAGGCAACTAATTAGCATATGTAAACACAGGCCTCCTATTTTCCCTCGCCAAAAATTCGTCCCTTTCCCAATAAGCTTGAAATCCTGTCCAATGAACAAAAAAGGGTGATACATTACGAAGAAAGTTCAAAAATTGTCATGGTTTATTTTTTGCGCACGCTCTGTTCAAAGTTTGTCCATTTTCACTCCTCTTGAGYGTCTCTTGCTTGGGTTTCGGTCGAACCTCTTCTGTGGCCGTTTTCTCGAAAATAAAATAATATTTTCGAAAACCAAATACCCAGTGATTCATATCTAATAATGGCCTATCTAACTTTAAAAGAAGAGCGAATTTGATTTTTTGACCCTTGTCACGAATTCTTGAATTTGTTCGATTTTTGTGGACATTGCCTCTTAACAGTCACTTGACTTCGTAGTTTTCTAACAGTTACTGGAATAAGAATTAGCGGTTAATCGAAATTAATTGAGATTTGACTGTTCCAAAGTGGGGCTATCAGTCGATTACTGACAGCACACAGTTACTTAATATTCAGTTAAGATTGGGGCAAGCACCTCACATCGTTACTAGTACTTAGACAACAAAATCTAAGYTTAAAAATTGTAGCCACAAATCCTGTTGCTGCTTCTTCCTAACTACCGATGTTCCATTATCTTTGACATTTCGGTTTCTTGTTGTTTACCTATTCCTTTCTTATGTCAGACTTTCTGGCGTTCACTGAGCCATAAATGGTTTTCTCTACTTATGGAACAGGAGGGAATTTTGCATGCGCACGCGCCGATGAGCAGGAATACTGCGTTTACCTATTTAATCTAATATTTTTACCTAATTTACCAGTGCTTTAAACATTATGAAATAAGATACGACTAGTTCATCTTCTGGTCAACTAATATGATGAAAAGAGAGATGTRTTTTCTTTACAGAATGGACTTTTTAGTGCGAAGAAAACACTGCAAAAGTGTCATGGCTGCCTTCGTTGTCCATACAACACAAGTGAAATACTCTCAATTAATATTCAGTGCCAGAGGTACATCGTATAGATATGGATACACATGRCAAGAGTTTATTAATAATTATAATATCTTAGCAAACCCTAACTGTGATCGACCTTTTGTATATATACAAAAAGTATCCTTATTCTATATCAAATCACTTACATGTTCAAATTTTAGTAAATGTTCGAGTAGCAATCACTCTAAAACTAGACGCTATCTCCACCTGTGTTGGCTTTTTATAACCAGAAATCCTTATTCATTCGAAAAATACAGGTTATTTTAGAGAGAAAAATCGGCTTCAAGGTGTATTTACATTGTTTTTGGGGGGAGTTTGAAGTGAAGCCTATATCTTCCTTTTACGAGAAGCATCAGGCTAATCAAAATTCTTTTGCCATTTTTTTATGTGGCTTTGGTAATATTGCTGTTCAACTCCAAGGGAGAAAGATATTTTAGAAATCGGGTATTTATTTCATTAGTTATCCGCCAATGTTGTGTGCACATTATTTTCTTGCATACATTACGTTAGAGTGATTTTTTTTTTCAAATTTCTCAAAATCCATACGCTATCTCCACCCTTAGCTTGCAATAATTATATTGTGCGATAACAGTGTTTTCATATGATMTTAAGTTTCATGCCGCAAAAAAATCGGCTTATACCAAAAAAATTAAACTTTTTGCAAGTAATATATCCATAAAAACCGTTTATTGGACACAGTGAACTCATTAAATAGTCTTGTTCGCAATAGCTGTAGTTCTGTCTGGAGGTCGCAACCTGAAATAGAATATGTCAATGGTAAGCATTTTGAATGAAGAACTGAAATAAATATGACTTACGTTGTGATAGTCCTTTCATGTGTTGTGAAACTTCCTCAAAAAGTCCAGGAGGGAGAATGGTTTCGCCGCCAGGGCCACGGAGGATCTGGCAAAAACACGTGTCTTTAACTTGCCACCCATTACATTCATATCCAAAGTGTTTGCTACAGCTTCTGTTTGAGTGCTGGTTGAAATTGTCGAAGGAGCCACACCCGAACCCGTCATAGGCTTTTTTTCTCGGTTTCCCCTTTCCCTTTGTTGAGCGAGCTGCAACAAAGTGCGTACTCAGTGATCATACTTTGTATCAAACATATGCAAATTCTACTTTTGGTAAATTTATGAAAAAATAAAAAAACTACTTACGTGGAGGAAAGTTTTTCCGCTTTTTCGAAATTCCACCTCTGGCCACCTCTGTAGCCTGTAATCACCTTGTTATGCATCAGCGGATGCGTGCATGCGCATGCAAAATTCCCTCCTGTTTACTTATGGATTAATTATCATTGATTCCTTATTTACATGAGTAATGTAAAATGTAGTTGACCAATCAGAGCGCACGTTTCATTTGAATAGCTTTTTTTTWAAATAATACTTTACACTTTACTGACAGGGGCTTTGAAAGGGATGAGGGGGARGGTTGCATGTACAGTTGAAGGGAAGCATGTAGGACGGAACTTGAAATCACATGAAATAAAGGATCATAATCTTTTCCCCCTCAAAAATTAGGACATGAATTTGACATTATGAATTTTCTTCCCCTCGACAAAACAAAGAATTAATTAGGGGAATATAGAAATCCTTTATTTTACAGCAGCTGACAGAGTTGGTTCCGTTTGTTTTATTCTTATGTTGAAGCAGTTGGGAGGGTCAGGCAATCCAAGAAAACACATGTTTGGTATACAGCTATATCAAAAAAAGATTTGCGAAGGTTTTGTTGCATGTTGCTTACTAAGCTAGAAATGTATGTAAATAATGTCAGCAGAGAATAAAGGTGCCGACACACGGTGCAACATTGCATGCAACATTGCACGAAACCGAACTGTTGCAGCGTGTGTCTACCCCAAACTTGTTGCATGCAACAAATCTGAAGTTGAATCGCGATCTACTCTTGCAACATTGCGCGCAACAAATTTCATCATTTGAACATGGCTGCAACATTACCTGCAACATTTTGAAATTTCCAGCCAATCAGCTTGCACCAAATTCATAACTTCTGACCATACATTTTAACATATCAGGCTGACACAAGCGATGTTGCGTGATTTTGTTGCAATGTGTGTCACCCCGATTTGTTGCTTGCAATGCCGCGTGCAGTGTTGCACCGTGTGTCAGAACCTTAACATACCGGAAAAACATGTTGACAAAGTTTCGGAAAATTCCTATATTGTTGTGTTCGCCTATTGCATTCACATCCTCCATAGCAACAAAACCTTCAACAACTTTTTTATTAAATCTTATCTTTCTTAAAGCTGCATATAATATATGGACTTACCTAATACCGTCCACGGCCTCGCGCACCTCMAAACAAACTCTTATTTTTCTGATCCGAAATAAAAATGCTTGTTAAAGCGCAAATATAATTCAAGATTAAAAATTCCTAATTTTTTTCTTTTTGGTTTTGCTTTTAGGTACTGGAGAGCTTATCACTACTGCTGCGGGAGAGAAACGAAAACTCATAATGCGTCGCGCGGAAGCCATACTAGGTAAGAAGCGGACTAAGTGCAGAAACAAAGTTATTTAACTCGCCGAAGGCCAAGTGAATCAGTATCGGGGAATAATCCTAGTTTAGTATAAATACACAGGTGATTATTGAAAATCTCGCGCGCTGATTGGTCGAAAACCTCACACTGTCACACGATAATCACCTCCAGCAATAGTCCAGAATGGCGGCCAGCCGCTTTGTTGCTGTTACCGGGAAAAAATAAGAAAAATCATTAATGTTAGAAGTTGTTTTGCCGGGTTTGTTTTTGCGTGTGTTGTGAACATAAACGTTTATCCATCGTATTTAATACGGCTAATATGCCTAATGATAAACTTATATGAACCACTAAACGAATAAATAGAAGGTTTGCGTATGGGACCAGCATAGTGTGTAGTATCATTGGCACCTATATGATAACTTTTTTCAATTTGTCTTTGCATTTTCGTAGAACAAATTCAAAGTAAAGAAGTTGAAGACCAGGAAAAATGCTTACCAGAAATTCAAGAATTAATTACTCAACTAGAGACAGAAGAGGTATGTCTTGATTTCCAATTAAAGTGCCTATCACCCTTCCGACATTATACTTAGTATTGATTCTACGTGGGATAAGATGATTTTTCATGTGAACCGTATCTTCCCGGGCGCGCGCTCTTAAAAAAACCTTGGGAAAATAGCGTAAGCAGGGCCGTATGGCTTTGCTCGAAACGTGCGACCATGGGCTGTAGGAGAATATTTTTTATTATATAATTACCTATGAAATATCTATTTTTCTCTATTTCGAAAAATTGATATCTTCACACGTGAAAATAACACCATTGCGATGGCTATTCAAAAAACTCACTCGTGAGAGATCTTTTCAACACTCGAAGATAAATTTCGTATCTCCGCRCGCCCATGTAATATCCTCTATGTTTGTGACGGGGGAAATGCTTGTTAGTAGACCGAATAAATCACTAATTACTCACTTGGATCTTTCTATCCATATTTTATTGATTGTTATGTAAGTCTCCGATGAAGAAACATGAATTTAATAGTCTTTTTACCTCCTTTTTCTTCGATAAAACTCGCCTTTTTTAGAGTGCATTTAGTCAAACTGTCTAAATTAGATAACTATTTTACTATTTTAGCTGACGTCACATAATTTGAAAAAACACGTTCCAGCGCTCTGAAAATCAGGGGGGCGTAGTAAACAAAAGCAAAGCAAATGAAGAGTGCGAGAAAAATCAATTTTCGAAGACCAATAACAGGRAAAATTATCTGTCTATCTTTTTGGAAATGTAATCATCAAATCTGCAGTACCCAATTTGATAAACATACGAGCAAGAAGCCCATCGGAGACATGAATGCCCGGGAGTTAAGTTGGATGACATGAAGAAGCTACGAGCAAATATTCTTGTATGATC